CAACATGACAGGTCTCTCCCAACGGTCGGTCGGCACGCGTTCCACAATCTCCACCCGTTGGGCACTCTCTACATCAATGTTCAGCCATCTAATTCCTCCTCCTATACTTGCAATCGGGCAATACATCACACTTGCATTTGCGTCACGCCAGCAGACTAGAATGCACCCAACCACGACACAGCCCGTGTATGCAGCAGCAGCAGCAGCAGCAGACGGACAGACAGACATGTACGAACGTGTTGTCGCGTACAAGTCGACATGGGCTGATGAAATGAAGTCGTTCGGGTGTCGGCAATTTTGACGTGGTTCCTTAATGGAATAAATGGTATCGATCTCCTATAAGCGAATGGGAATCTTTGCACTTTGGTGTAGCTTCCCGGAGCAGACCTGAAACAGAACCAGTGCTGCAACCAGGCACTCGGCTCGGCTCAACCGACTGCAACGGGTTTTGCAGCTGCCGTCCGCCGGCGGTCGGTCCAGTGCGGGATCAGAAAGTCAAAAATAAACGTGGCAATTTGCTCGTTCGCTTTTATCAACACACACACACACATACCCACACACAGCCCGTTCACATGCATTTCATTATGACAACAGAGAACCCTCAAACACACAGAGAGATATCGCGAGCGCGACCATGTGACGTGCTGAATGGTTTGCCTTGATCTGTGCAGTTCGTCGCCGCCACCACCGTCGCCGTCCACATTAGTAGGTTGCTCCTCCAACTGGGCAGGCAATTGGGGGATTACTTGACGACAACTACTATTCGACGAATACTGTAAAAAGAAACTGTAAAAAGTATTTGCATTTTACCGGTAATGGGTAAAAGTACAAAACATTTTGATGACGTGACTGACGTGTTGTACTGTCCTCGTTACGACCTGGTTCTTTAGTTGGAACTGGTGCATATCTTTCCCGAATTCCATACGATTTTCATTCCATCCAGAAAAATTACTAGCGAATTACTGGTTACACGAGTACCAATCGAGTAAAGGCTACAGAAATGATCCTCGAAAGTATAAAAATACATTCTGATCCACCAGCAGAGTGAAGAACCGGAGGTTCTCTTAGATTTTGCCATGTTCTAATGGGAGGTGCTCATTGGCCATTACCGTAATATAGCTTCAGAAATCCCCATGAAGTCTTAATAAATACCGATCCAGTAGTATGGAACATTTTTATGGCTTCTACTGTGTACTACTGGGAAGTATTACTGCTTATCATCCAGGTGAAAACCACGGAAATTATTTAAGTTGCTGTGATGAGACCTATTTTGATATCCTCAAAAGCAGGGGTAGTGTATCACTGATCCCACCCCCCATTGGGAACGAGCAATGGCCCAAAAAAGTATTGTTTTCGAGGTCCAACAGTGTCGTTTTGGGATGCGCCCATGTATCGACTTCCGGTCAGAATCGTAGTAGTGTTTGAGAGTGTTTTCGCTCCATACAATTACCAGAGAGGCTGGCATATGCGCAAGTCAGTGATTCTGTTCCCTCGTATGAGTCGGACACTAATTAACCGACCATGGGAACGGACGACCTAGGCAGGGATCCCTGACTCATCAATGTGGTTACAGCGCCATATGGCGGCTCCCACCTTTTCCCAGGGGGAAAAAGAAGAAAATCGTGAGCTAGTTTCATATAAAGGCACGATTTCTGGTCTCCTTATTGATTATGTGAAGAGCTAGATGATGACGAAGGTTTCAGGGGGATTAGAAGGTTTTTTCCCTGCCGAGTAGTTCATGACTCGACTTCATCCTTTTTCTGGCTCTAGAAAGAAAGCGAATTCGCCGAAACGTTTGCCCTTTGCTGAGTTATTGCTGCTGCCCATGCACTTTTAACTATCAGATCCTGTAATGCCATCATGTCAGGGTTTATAGATGGTTATGTATGACGCTTTGGTATAGATTCCTTGTAAAAACAAAGAAAAAAACACATGACAACATGACGGGCAAGCAGGTCGTTCTATTGTATCGTCGTTGACGAAAAAGAATCGTTTCCCTAATGAGTTCATAGTAAAACGTGCTATACTGAAGCCTGAACAAACGTGAAAACCTAAAAGCCGATCATTCCTTGAAAAGAATACAGTCAATTACTAGTATTATAAAATCCTTTGTTGTAGTGTACCCTTAGTAATGGGGGTCCGAAGAGACTGAAGTACCGGAAGCAATGCCACTGGTAGTACAGCATACCCAAACCAATCTATTTTGGAGGCCAAGGCATCGGCCAAGGGTTTACCGTTACCAAATTCATATGTAGTAACCAGTTAAATGTAGTAGGAACTCTGTCGATGAAGCCCTCGAAGAACGTCACCGAAAAAATAAGCATTTACTATACCCAGAATGCTCAAAAAGCAGGTTTCCAAGTGCTTCCACTTCCTGAGGACACCGGGAATTACTTAATGGAACATAGTGTATGTTGTAGAATAAGATATTGATTACTTAACAAGGTCATCGTAATCTACTAGACGGCCGGACTAAGCACTTCCCCTGAGGCGAAGGTAATGAAAGGAACAACGGGGGATAGTTGCCATACTATTCGGTATTACCTCGTTACTAAAGCTATTACTGTAATTAGAACAAACTAGTAATGTTCACCTAGACAATTACCGCCTACTTTTCTTTCCATCCTCAACTCATCAGTGAAACATATTATTCCAAGCTGAAATGTGAATTTTTGAAATTTTTAAATATTCCTGTTTCTGACCCTGTCAGCGTCATCCTGGCCCGCCCAAGGAATTAAAATTGGCTAATTCAGCCTAATTTGTTTTTTCGGGCTTAGTTTCGCACTGTTTAATGGGTCAACTAGTTTATCAATACTAAGTAGTAACTTATTTGATGTATTAAGTAGTAAAGTAGCCAATGAAGGCATCCTTGCGAATTTTCAAAACGAGAACAATCTGAGCCTGAACCAACTCCCATTCTTCCTAAAAGAGTTACAAAACTGGATATTACCAGTATGAGAGTATTTAAGCCACTATTACTCTCTATTACTTCTATAAGTCTGAGTGCAAGTCGATATTTTGGAAGAATTTCAAAGTACACCCGATCACATGAATAACCTCAGCACTTGCAGGACGTTGGCATCCTCGTGATTTTTGCTGATCGAAGATGTTTCACACTTCGTTCTCATTAGTAATCAAATGAACTTTGTCCCTTGATGCATAACAACCTCTGAAAGTTTTTATTTAAAAGCCGTAAACTGCACGATTACTAGTAAAAACGAAAGTATGACAAATTGTATGCGTTAGAATGATTAAGGACCTGCTTTGTTTGTTGAATTATTTACAGAAAAATGCG